TTAAATAATTTTTCAGATTTAATTTAATAATATAAAAGCTAATCAACAAATAAATTGTGATATTAAAGCGTAAAAAGAACCTTTATTGATTGTTGGATGTTAAATCAACTTTATAAACTCAGACATCAACACATGAACGCATCGATTCTGAAATCTGATTTTTGTTTTGTTTGTTTTTGGCACATAAATGTTCTAGTTCACCAAAAAGGACACGTTTATAAGCTTCACTAAAATGTGGTTTAACTTTAAATCATGTTGCACAAAACTCTAAAACCTCTCATGAAATCTGTGTTTAGTGACTAAACGTGTTTCTTTATGGTCACTTTGTGTCTTTTAGCAGCTCTTTAGTGTCTTTTTCTAATTATTTTACGTCATTTTGTGGTTGTTTTGCTTTCCTTTGTGCTCACCTTGTGTCCCTCTCTTATTATTATTGTCTCTCCTCGTAGTCCTGTTGTGTCTCTAAAGTTATTTTTCGTTCCTCTTTGTGGTCGTGTTGCATCTCTTTGTGATCATCTTTTGTATTTTCATTTTGTCGCTCATTCAATTGGTAGTATATTTAAATCATTTAACAGTTTGTATCTTAGAAATGTGAAATGTCCCAACAAATGTTCTGATAAAAACTAATTAAAAATGTCCTTTTTTTTAGTTTTGTCTGTTAGAAACAATCTCTGCTTTTTGCATTAAGGTCCTTTAGTCCTTTATGAATTCATTATTATTATTTTATGACACTTTATGTCCCAGAGATGCTCTAAATAAACGCTGCAGCTTCCTGTTTCTCACCTCGACTGGTACAAAAACCTACTGGCTGTATTTTAAAGGACGATTCCGCCTGTTTCCAGTCAGACCACGACTCAGTAACACATTAAATAATATTGTGCAACCCCCTGAATAGTCCGTCTGCTACTGCTAATAATACTACTACAATTACTACCACTACTACCACTACTACCACTACTACTACTACTGGAGGAGGTTTCACTTTTAAAACGAACATGTATGACTTTAACTGTAATATTTTGTGCTTCTACTTCAATGTTCTACTTTTTAGTCTTTCTATAACATCACTGGTTTGTATGTTGAGAACTCGTCGGTCTAATCGCTGCTATTTCAGGAATATTTCTGTGAAGCTGAAATGACTTGAGATAAGATGAACCTTTATTATTCCTGCAGGAAATCCTTCAAGAACTGTGCTCAGTTTTATAGAGATTGTGTGATTAGGAGGATAATAACTCAGTGTTTTCCTCCAGGACATGAAGCCGGCGTGGCATCAGACCTGCTGCTCGTCTTTATCCCCATGAAGGTTTATTCTCTGCCCTTCATCACCATCATCCTCTCGCTGTGTTTACTGTTCGGCTGCTCCTCATAAATCCTCATCACACACAGAACGCTGCAGTAACCGTTCACGCTGACGGAGCCGAGCTGCACCGATGCATTCTGGGATCAGACGTTCATTTACGGCGACCTTGAGGAGGACGAATCAACCCGTCCAGTCCTCCTCCTGAGTCCACTACGTCCTCCATATAAAGCTCCAACTGCAGCTAAAGTAAATGAATAAAGACTAAATCCTGAGTCTCTGTTGAGTTCAGCGCCGAGCTGAAGAGACGCCACTAAAAATAACTGGATCAGCTCCGACCAGGACAGAATATAAACCAGTTACCTCCACTGGACCTTCACTTCACTCCTTTTATCTCCTGTTTCAACCTCTTGGTCTCATAAAAGCCTCGTAGGGACGAGAAAATGTTTTCTTTAAACAGCTTTGACTGTAATTTTTTGAACAATTTACTGTTAATTTACAGATTTATTTGAATTAGTTTTGCTAAATTACAGAAAATATTCAGTAAAATCACAGAAAAAGTTCTAATTTACATGTAAATAAAAAAAAACGAGGCCATAACTTTACAAAACGTCCACATCAAAGGACGGTAAAGTGTTCGTGTTTGCTTGACGATAAAATCACAATTTGCTTTACTGCATTTACATCAGAAAAAAAATCTTATTTTACAGATTTTGGGTGCTATTTGACAGAATGTTTTTTTTTTTTTTTTTTAATAAAACTGCTATTTCACAGATAATATCCTGTAAAATTATGGATTAAAAAGTAAACTTTAAACGTTGACTATACAAAAGACCAGGCCATAAAATGTCCATAAAGATCTGTACTTGTACAAATATTGATTTATTATTACTATTATTGCTGATATAATTTATTGTTTTCATAATATGTTTGGGGCTGCAAGGTGGCGCAGTTGGTAGCACTGTTGCCTCGCAGCAAGAAGGTTGCCGGTTCGCGTCCCGGTGGGGGCACCGGAATCTTTCTGCGTGGAGTCTCCATGTTCTCCTCGTGCAGCGTGGGTTCTCTCCGGGTTCTCCGGCTTCCTCCCACAGTCCAGAAACATGCTGAGGTTAATTGGTGATTGTAAATTGTCCGTATGTGTGAATGTGAGTGTGCTTGGTTGTCTGTCTCTGGGTGTGGCCCTGCGATGGACTGGCGACCTGTCCAGGGTGTCCCCTGCCTTCACCCTAAGTCGGCTGGGATAGACTCCAGCCCCCCCGCGACCCTAATGAGGATTAAGCGGTGTATAGAAAATGGATGGATAATATGTTTGATATTTTATGATTTTTTTTTGTGTTCTTACCTATTTTGTAAAGGATCTTCGTCTTGAGAAGTGCTTCATAGTAATAATAATTATTATTATTATCATCTGTTACTGTGAAATGACAGTTTTACTCCAGATAATCAGGATTTCATTGTGAAGAGGACGACATTGCGGCTAGAAGATGAGCCCGACCTCTAAATGTGGGTGAAAACGACACCTTCCACATGATTCTGCAAAGTTGACCCTAAAAGTTTTCTCTGGTATCAGAAACCAGAAACACATCCAGGGTACCGACGTTTGTTTCTGTGACATTAAACTGCTGCAGTTCTGCTGTTGAAGCTACGATACATCCCATAATACTGGTGCTCAAAGCAACAGAACAATCTGGGCTTTAGATTGTGACTGGGTTGCAGTTTAAGGGTTTGTTTTTAATCCCTCAGAGTTTCATGTCTGTCGTTATCTTTGATGCTCTCTGGTGTCTGGAGTCAGCAGCCAGCAGGTCGGCTTCACTGGTCGAGGCCGAGCGCTTCAATAATGTTTTTATCAGAACACGTATCGTACATGTGCTGGCTGATCCACCAGGTGGTGAGTTTCTGCTGTAGGAACACTTTTCTAGGAGCCTTTATAGAGTCTCTTTGTTTACTCCAAAGGGAAGCTTGTCTGACAAAATAATCAACCATGAAGACTGTTGAGTGGAATCAGTCTCAAAAGTCAGCAAGAAAACGAAGGTTTGGCCCAGAAAAGATCTGATCCTGACGACTTTAAAGCTGCTGTGATTGGCTGAGATCCTGATGTTTTAATTTAGCTCTCTGCATCTCTATCCGGTCCATCAGCTGCTCCACTATCGTCATAACAGCAGGAACAACAGTCGGTGGATTTAGTGTCACTGCTGAACCTCTCTGAGTGTCTCTGAGTGTCTGAACTGTACCAGTGGCTTTGCTCTCATCCCTCTAAATGCTGATGAACCTGCTCAGTCCATCAGCTCTGGTTCTTCATCCACTCAGTCCATCGTGTCCCTAAACCTCTGTGTATTCTAATCCTCTGCTTGTGTTTGCTGGACTAATCCTCGCGTCGCAGCGTCTTTACATGCCGACCTGCTCCCCGCTGGTCGATCCGTCATCCCGCCTTAATCCTCACCTCCTCCTCCGTCTGACTACATCCCCTCAGACCGCCTCCCCTGTTGGTCGTAACATTTACTGTTTTCCCTCCTCTCTCTCTCTCTATCTGTCCTCCTTTCTCCCTCCAGCCGACCTTCACGTCTCCTCCATCAGTCCAAACCTCCCAGGATCTCCCTCCGTCGACTGTTTGACGGTGTAACCTCGACACCTGAACCCCTACAGGCCACCCGGGACGCAAACACGCTGTAAAAGCATCACACCGAGCGGCCGAATCGCTCTGAAAACAGCAGAGGAACGTTCTCAGGATGAATGAAATCTGTGTAATCAGCATTCAGGAAACAAAGAGCTCAAGAACCCTTCATGGTGGCGCCATTGAAGACTGAACACATTGATTTATAACTGGGTGAACGTGAAGGAGTGAAGCAGGACCATCTGACTTCTTACAATAACTTTAGAATATTTAATGAACTCGTGCAAAGTCTCAGCTTCATATGACAAACATTTTCTTACAGCTACAGGCCCGTGAAGCACACAGAGGTGGGTTGAAGTTTAAATCTGGACAAGTTTAAAGTTATTAGTCAGACTTTGTTTTTTTTTTAGTCATTTTAGACCAATTTGAAGTCAGTTTTGACAATTTTCAAGTCATTTTGGACAAGTTTGGAGTTAAAATCAAGTCATCTTCAACAATTTCGGGCAATTCTTTGAGTTATTTTGAACATATTTTGAGCCATTTCTGCCATTTGTGTCATTTTGGACCATTTTTGGGAACATTTAAACAAGTTTAAAGTTGTTCTGGGGACGCTTACTTTACATAAACGTAGCACTTAGGTCAGATTCTTACTGACTTTGAAGGCAGGACTAGTTGTGGGAGGATTTAAGGAGGACAGGAGACATGAAATTTATACTCAAATTACTAGAAAATGATTTCAACACAAAAGGAATCAGAAGGAAAATGATCCTGGTATCAAACGTGGGTCAAAATGAGACCTTTCATTGTCTATAACCTGTTCTGACCAACCTCCATCACACAAGCCCTCACAGTTTACCCAGAATGCAGTTTTGTTGTTGAAACTACGACCTATCCCAAAGTATTGATGCTCAAAGTAAAAAAAAATGAACAAAAAACAGATTCAGTCTTTAGATTATGACACCTGTAGTTGATGTAAAACTGATCTGGTTGCAGTTTATAACAGAACTAAAATGTGTTTTTCATCCTAAATGTCACGTGTCCATCTGCTGTAATGATGAAGTTAAGAGGCTCAGAAATGATGGAGAAAGACCATTAAAGTGATAAATCTGGAGCCTCCTCTGTGGACTTCAAGGACCTGGAACTCTGGAACATTCACAGTATGAAGGTAGAACTTTGCTTCATTGAATAAAGTTACTGTGGATAAAAAAAACCACCGAATCCGAAGCAAGTGGGAACGTTAAAGAATAATTTTTGGGGCATTTTTAATCTTTCATTGGACAGTTTCATGAGTAGAAATTAAAATCACGTGACTGTGCTGCAACCATTGGATGGCCAGAACTTCAGCTCTTGTGTTTTTATGATTTAATACATTTAATATGTTGTTCAGAAACAAAACAAGCTATTTAAAGTTTTTAAAATGTCACAGACTAAACCAACTAATGAATGAGTAATACCAACAACCCCCTGCTGCTCCTCAGCCTCACCTGCGACGTGATGACCTCGATGGATGCCATGAAGCGGTCTGCGATGATGGACACTCCCAGGAACATGTACATGAGCGACACGAAGTAGACCACGGCCCGGGCCACCTGGTATCCCAGTCCGGGCTTGTCGGGCTTCCAGACGGGCAGCAGGATGCCGGGCATGCAGATCGTCTCCTCGTTGCACTTGTCCCTGGTGCCGGGCGCCGTGCTGTTGCTGTAGGACGAGGAGGGCGGGAAGGCGGAGGGCAGGGACGAGGGCAGCGCCGTCCTCGGGTCGGGCTCGGCGCTCGGCTCGCTGCGCTGGGACTCCGGCTGGCAGGGAGGCAGCGGCACGACGAGGAGGAGGAAGAGGAGGAAGAGGGGAGGAGAGGCCAGGAGAGGCATGGCGGCGTTGGGTTCCCAGAGAAGGACGAGGATGGAGGGACGAGCTGAGGGTGGAGCGACGAGCTCACCTGCAGGGAGACACGACGAGTTAGTCTGAGACTCCTTCAACACAAACCACAGAACAGAGGGTCTGGTTGGTCTCCTGTTCCTTTGACCAGCTTCATAAAGCAGGTTCAACAAACTCTGAGTCTAATCCTGAACTCTGAGTTGATCTGCTCTGAGTTTCTGGTTCCAGAACAGCGGATCTGAGTTAGTTTAATCAACTCGGACCACCCTGCATACAGGTGTCTTACTCAGGAGCTCTGCATCTCTGACACTGTACAAAAAACTTTCATTTGCAAAGAAACGCAGCGACCGGATCAGCGAAGAGCATCGTTGTTTTATAGGTATTTTATAGGTTATTGCAGTTACATTCACCATTTGTACAGTTTTTGTAGGTTTTGTCTTTTTTTTTAAACATATTTTTGTCCAGCATCTTTGTAAAGTTTCCATGAAATCACACAAACTCAGTGGAAAATGTGGACTTCACACACCTCAGACCTAAAGAACCTGCAGAGAGCAGAAACAAACATCACAGGAGCTGATGTCGAGGCCACAAAAGCAGACAATGTGTTCATAAAGTCCATATTTTTACAGAGAACAGATGATCTGGGAGTTTGCTGAACTTAAATGTGCTGCTGCTCCTGATGCCACCTCGTTTCTGAAACCGTCTACAGATAAAGAAAAGTTCGACTGCAGATAAACACGTCCAGAAACATCCGTCCACTTTTTAATTTTCAATGTCATTTCAGGAGGTTTGCCAGAAAGAGCTGTGAGTCACGTCTGTGGACGGAAGCTCTCCTACACTCGTACGACGTCTCCGCTGCTCAAACGCTTCACATTTAACATAAATAAAGGACAGAAGCAGGTGAAAGACATGATTCACAGCAGATGACGCGGTTTGCCGGAGACCCTGGAACACTTTATTCAAGGAACGGTGAGTCACCGGTAAACAGAAAAGTAAAAACAGAGACAGGAGAAGTCAAGAAAGTCAGAAAAGAGAAGCAGAGAGACGGAGGAGAAGGGATTGGTGAGGCCGAGGAGTTTTGTCCAGGGAGGTCAGAGGTCAGAAATAAACAGGATTTATTATCCACATTAACAAAGACTGTTAGTTTTTATGTTGTACCACAACTTAAGTTTAACGTCAGCAACACTCCACCAAAGAACAACAACACAACATCCTGTTGTACAGGTCTGAACATCCAAACACACTCCAGCAGGAGGACATTTTATTATCCATCCATCCATCCATCATCTCTACACCTTAATCCTCACCAGGGTCATGGGGGGCTGGAGTCCATCCCAGCTGACTCAGGGTGAAGGCAGGTTCACCTGGACAGGTAACCAGTCTGTCACAGGGCTACACTTAGAGACAGACAACCAAGCACACTCACATTCACACCTACGGACAATTTAGAATCACCAATTAACCTCAACATGTTTCTGGACTGTGGGAGGAAGCCGGAGAACCCGCAGAGAACCCACGCTGCACGGGGAGAACATGGAGACTCCACACAGAAAGATCCAGGGTGTCCTCACCGGGACGTGAACCGGTGACCTTCTAGCTGCGAGGCAACGATGCTAACCATCGAACCACCAGTGAGTTTGAAAGGCATGACTTTAGTCTTTAAACCACAAAACCGACACCATTTATCACCCAGGAACTGCACCAACAGAAACAGATTTTTGACTTTCCAGTCTCTGTTAAAGTCCATCACGTGTAATTCCACCAAATCTAAGTTTAAAATTGAGATATTCTAACTGTCTTATTTAAAAAAATATCCAAAAACAAAGCAATTGCATCAGATATTAAAAATAAAACAACAAATTCTGAGCTTCTTAGTGCAACCAAGAAACAATGACACACGTGACAAATATTCAGACGACTCGGCTGAACTGCAGGAAGCGTTCACACAGAGCAGAGCAGAGAGGAGACAAGTGTGGAAGCGAATGAACAACGTAAAGAGTGAAATATCTGCTGTAGATGGAACCACTGGTTTTATTCTAACTTCACACCTGAGTTGAACATATTGATCCCAGGTGCTTTCTCTTATATTTTTGTGACACAAACAACAATATTCAGCTTCTGCTTTTCTTTTTTCCTGAGTTCTCTCTCCTCCCTCATGGTTGTTCTGTTCCCACAGAGGGGCAGGACTTTACATTGCAGAGGAAAATAAGGAAAAGTAACAGGAGCAAAAAAAACAGGGTTCTGAGGGTTAAACAGCAAAACTGTGTAAAATGCATTTAACACACCTGAAAGAAAACGAGCACAACAAACAATATTTGCTGGAAACAAAAATATACCACAGCTGAAATGATAAACAGTCACCTGCTGTGTCTTGTTTGTGAATTGTGCTCTGCTGTGTGATGATATAGATGTTTAAAAAGAAAAAAAGGCGACACTACATTTGGTTGTTTAAAGCAGATTTCAGGAGCTGTGCAGGCGATGCTGAAGGAGACGTTTCACTTCAGCCTCATGTGTGTTTTTCTGTCATACAACAGAAAGAAGCAGCTCTTTGGGAGGAGGACGGTTCAGATGGACGGACATGAGAGGCACAAATACCTGCAATCAGGGTAAAAACGTGGCAGAAAGACGGACGAATGGCCAAAAGTACAGAGTGGGAGCAGCGACAAAAGGTAAAACTTCACAGAGGAAGGCAGAGAAGAAAGAAAGTGGTGGGAGGAAACTGGCAGAAAGTCAAAGATAGAGAAGGAACATAAAGAAACGGAGACAGCAGGACGAGTCACCGGGACGGCCTCCAGGAAAGAGTCTCGCATCGGCCGGTTCATGTTTGTTTGTTTGTGTTGCTCTTCATGTTTGTTTATCTGAGTCACCGAACGTCGTCCTGCTCTTTCCCCGTCAATCTCAGCTCCTCGCTCGCTGTGACGGACGCCGAGCCGGAGTTTGTGTCCTCTTTGTGTGCCTCTGACGGTGTGTGTCGGTGTGTGTCGGTGTGCTGCCAAGTGGTGAGACTCAGATCTCAGCGTGAAACCAAAGGACGGGCAGATGGACGGAGCGGCGTTTCCTACTGTATCGGTGCAGCAGAGCCTAATCTTCCTCCTCTCACGCTTCATTTCTCCCTCCATCCGCCCGTTTGAGAGGACAACAGCACCTGCTAACACCTTCTGTTTTAAAACACACCTCATCATGTCTCACTTAAAGACGAGGACACACAGCAGGCACAGAAAAACGAATTTTAGCACTTTTTTATTTATCATATCATATCCTGCCAATAATAATAGAGCTTTATTGATATTTGCACAGGTACACTGGAATCATTTGTGTGTTTTCTTGAGTTAGCTTCATTTGGAGGAAAAAATATACAAACTAAAGAGGAAGGAATGAGCAGCAGCAATAAAACTAATACAAATACACATTATAAAAAAGCATTTGTTAAAAATAGACTCAGCAGCTTTATCAAAAATTCCTCTTTAAGGCTTTAAGGCTTCAGGAGACTCGACAACAACCAGAGTCACAACAAACTCTCACTAAGCTGAGGTCAAACTATCTGAATGTTGACGACAAACAGACCCCACAATGCTCCTCTCATCAGCCTGTTTGGATTGTGTGCGGCTTCGCTGTGGATTTGTGTAACTACACGACATGTTGACTCTCCCTGTTTGCTCCTGTGGCCCCAACACAACAGGACGCACCGGAGCTGCACAACGCTGCTGCCAACGCACACAACGGGACGCACACGGGGATCACGGTGTCGGGAGGAAACCTGCCACACGTCTGTGCCTCCAAGTAGAAAATAAAAACGATGAGCTTCAGCCTCTGATTGTAGACTTTAGTAAAACAGACATCAGCTCCTGTCAGAGAACGGCGCTGCTCCACGTCTCAGGAGCCCAGAACTAAAACTGTCAGCTCTGAAAACATGAAAGTATTTTACCCCACATTGGTTTGTGAACAAATAATTACACTTAGAGGAAAATCTGAGGTTATGCAGCAACATATTTACTGATTTCAGCCTGAGTTGACATCTGGAGACTCTACTGAAATGATGAAATCAAATAGTCTGCAATCATTTGAACTCCCTATGGGACAAATACAGCTATTTGAATTGAATTTAATTAAATTCTGCAAAATAAGGTACATCTAACAACCAAAAATGACAGTTTGCTTCAGTTTTTTCTTGAGTTATGACAACTTGAACAACTAAAATCATGTTCAACCAACAGGCTCCAACAACTCTACAATGTCTGAAGCTGCTCGTTAAGACAAATGAAGGAGTTGTTTTACATCAACTGAAGCGGAAATTAAGATTTTAAATTACACACAATATTACCTTGATGCAGTTACCAACATTATAATGTCGGCCTGACTCACTAAATAATGTTTGCAAACTAAAATGTATATGCAAATCAGTAAATCAAACCTTTACGTTGACATTATAATGCTGGTCATTGCACCAAGTTAATATTGTGAATAACTTCACCTCAGATTTCTGTTTTAACTCATGTTTAACAAAATTTAAGTTGATCTAACTAAGTTAGCATGACAATTTTATTGCATAAACATAACACCGTGTGTCATTTAAACTCCAATTTGTAGTTTTTTCATTTGCAATAATTAAATATTGTTTTCAAATACAAAACTGTAGCTCAAAAATTAATTACTTTGTCGTAGAATAAACTGATTTCTTAAAAGCAAACAAACATGAAAACAGAAAATCTAATTGGAGCAACACATATTTTTTATTTTAATGTTTGTCACTAATTCTGCTTCCTCCGTGTGGCTTGTAGCTTTGACCCCATTCTTGTCTAAAACTAGTAAAAGTGGTTTGGCCCACTTTGGCACCAACCACCTCAGTCAGGAGCCTGCATCAGCTCCACCTCCTCCATCTGAGTTTGGGATTAACTGGGAGTTCAGCCGGCATCACCGAGATGCACACGGCTGGAGTCTCCACTCTGAGCTCAGAGTTTGTTCATCTTCAATTAGACGTGACACGGCGTGGTAA